ACCCTTTTCATGAGGTGGCATTTTGGAGTCCCACTATTTTGAACTCTTAAAAGCACTTTATATTCAAGCTGCCTTCGTACTTTGGCGGGCTTTCTTAAGTCATTTAGAGATATGGTACAGAATGTATCTTTACACGAGTGGACCTATAAGTTCGTTGTACTTAAGAAGCTACTCTTTTGATTGTGGGCTCAGATCTTTCTTGTGGGTAGTTACTAGAAACAAGAATATTTTGTTTTTATGTATGTTAAAATTTGGTCTAAAAATAGTTGCCTTTGTTTTGATTATTATTATCCTCTGTGTAAGTTATTATAGCAAAAATCCTGATTACATTTTGCAACATGTTGATGTGTAATTATTATTCAGGATGCTGATGTCAAATTGGGAACCTTGATGGGAGTATTTTTGCCATGCTTGCAAAATATATTGGGAATCATATACTACATCCGGTTTACCTGGTAATTTGCTTCTTTTGTACTTTGATTTCGATGAAAACTCAATAGCTACACGGGCAGGGCTTGGATATCATGTCTTTTCTTTTAAAAGTCTGACTAATTTAACTACTACTATTAGATTTCTAATTTTTAAGCTATTTAAATTTCTTTTCTTATCTTTCTCCACCTTGGTTGCTTTTAATTATTTGAGCCATTTTTCCTTTTGCTTTATTTTGTGCATTTTACAGGATTGTTGGTATGGCAGGCATAGGCCAGTCCTTATTTCTCGTGTCGTTCTGCTGTATGTGTACGTTCTTGACAGCGGTATCATTAAGTGCAATTGCAACAAATGGTGCAATGAAGGTAAACTTAGCAGTGACTACTCTAACTAGTTTGTGTTGTTTGATAGCAGATGATGATTGTATGCAAAGGTAATCTGTTAGCATATGCAAATTTAGTTGTTGGGCTGAACTATCATTAAGCCAAATAAATACTTACCTGGCTGCATGTTAATGAAAAGCAATACTATATTGATCCAATTATTACCCGTAGACCTTGTAAGACTGATCAATCTACGACCTGTACTTTAACCTTAAATGGGTTGAATTGAGAGACTGTACCTAATCAGTAATGTAGCATAAATCAGTTATGACCTGGTAGGAGATTGAATGGTGACCCAACTAAAATCCAATTTGAATTTTTGATCTACCAGTTTGCTGGGTCTGAATTTGTTGTGAGCAATGGTTTATTTTATGCATTATATTATATATGATATGCGATCTGTATTTTTCCCTTTTGTCCAAAATCAATTTGGTAATAAGATCTCTTGATGTTTGTTAGCTTTCATGCAATTATGGAGACATGTACTTTATATATGTGAATAATTGCATGTATTTTAGGGAATCATTTTTTTATAGTGTGAAATCAATACATATATTTGTCTAGTATGAAATGAAATAAATTTGTATTTGTGCATTACAGGGTGGGGGGCCATATTATCTCATTGGCTTGGTGTCAGCATTGGACTTTGTTTTTTTCTAGGAACTGCAGTCGCTGCATCTCTGTGAGTGCTCACCTTAGATCTTTTATTTTTGTTGTTTTTTTTTTCTTATTTTTTTTGGGGGGGTGGGGGGTTGTGGCAGTGATACCTAATATGACTTGCAAGCAATGTTTATTGTGACTTATTTTATATGTTTCTCTGTTTTGTCCCCAGTTACGTATTGGGAGCTGTTGAAACATTCCTTAGTGCTGTGCCAAGTGCTGGTATTTTTACAGGTACTAATTAGGAGATGATATGTTACTTAGGAAATATTAAGAGGTGAACGTACCTTGCATGGCTGTGCTTGATATGTTTGTCTTTATGTGGGTTATTCTGGTTTTCTAGAAGACCTGATGTTGGAATCATGGGGAGGCAGACTTTGAGCCAGGATCAAAGCTTGTGTGCTCCTGGGGATTTCGTGGTGGGAGGTTTTGGGGCTTTAGATAGCCTAGACCTGACTTTCAGTAGTTTGCATCCATAAATACCTTTATTAGCTGGTCTTTTATATGCTTTGTTTGTGGTCAGGGAAAATTGTCTCAAATAGCACAAATTTTGGTTGTCTGCAACCTTTGAGGCTTTGACACAACTTGACTTGATAACAGTGTTACCTATAATATAATTTAACCCCTAATATCTCTATTTTATAGCAACAGGCTTGACTTGATAACAGCATTATATAAATCTTTGATAATATCTAACATGAAAGCATATAAGCATAACATGTAAAAAAAAAAAAAAAAAAAATCACCTCACCTTCCTTCAATCTCCCTGTTCTTAGATGGAGAAAATTAAGGGGTGTGTAATAGAAACGAACTGGCATCATTATAGCAATTTACATCTTTGTGCCAGCATTCATGTTCAATCTTTAGACAAAGTATTACCTCTCACTTATTGGAGCAACTATTTGCATAGGTATGGTTATTTTAATTATTATTAGTATTAAATTTACTCATGATCTGGCATCTTTTGGTAATTGTTACTCTGAAAAGGTTGATGATTAGGAATTTGTACATTTCTAATTTAAAAGGCATCTAGGCTGCACGAAAACATGCTTTGGGGTGCTGTAGTTGCCACCATAGAATATTCTACATCTTATGGATGTGAGAGAAATATATATTTGGTAAAAGATGAGGGACGAAAGCGAACAAATAAAGTTCCATCTCATTAAGAGAGGTTTGGAGCATTATAAGAGGAAGGAAAGGGACTAGAAGTGGAAGTGAGAGGAACTAACTAAACTGAATGATGTTACCCAGAATATTTTATGCTGAGAGGTTGGGCACTTGTGCCGGTATCTATGCAATCCTGTACTGGCTACTCTAACTAATACTAATGGTGCGCATTTGCGCCAAACAAGACTCTTCTTGTTAGATTGCATAGACACCGACATGGTTTTTGCAATGTTTCATTCCCCCGTCTTCTCAGTTATCTGATTCATTTAAGGCTTCTTGCTGTTCCAAACTAATGAATTTGCGTGGTAATCTGGGTTGATTTCATTTTGGGAAAATTTTGATTCACTTCAGGGTTTGTATTGCAGTGATCATGTTCTTGATCTCGTGGTCATTCTCAATTGTATCTCTTGCCCTTGCATGCCTTATATACAAATATGTGTGCATCAAAGGAAAAGCAGGAGATTGGGGTGATGGTTTCAAGAGTGCTTATTTTCAACTTGCCCTTCGAAGTCTTCGTTCTCTTGGAGGTATTGATTTAAGGATTCTAATTTTTGTTTCTAATGCTATCATTTTCTTGTCAAAGATCTATGTTTGTGGATAGGTAAAATTTGTACAAAATTTGGACATTGATCATAGGCTAAGCATATATGGTGCTTTAGAATGTTTTTAGTACCAGTCAGCTGTTTGAAACTTAATTTACAATCACCCAACACTTGTTTTAAGATCATATCATCATAGGCAGCATTGATGCTTTTGGTTTTGTTCAAACCTGCTGACAGTCAGAATTGTCCACTAGCTATGGTGCTTGACTTTGTAGGATGTTGGTTACAGTTGAGGGTCATAATCTCAATATGATTGTTTACATATCTGTGAATTACTTCTTTATATCTAGACCAATTTAAATCAATGTAAGATTGTGCAATTGGTTTTATTAAGAAGTGGACTTTATTTATACCTTTTTAATTTCATTTAAGTAATCTATTTGTACCGTTGCCAAAAAAATAAATCTATTTGTACCATGTGCCTAACTTTATAGCAATTTCAGCAAATCAGGTGCATGCAAAGAACTGGTATCCTATTCCATTGATCTTCTGCCGGCCTTGGGGCAAGCTACCAGAAAATGTACCATGTCACCCCAAACTTGCAGATTTTGCAAATTGTGTGAAAAAGAAAGGTCGTGGAATGTCAATCTTTGTCTCTATCCTTGATGGGGACTATCTTGAATGTGCTGAAGATGCTAAAATTGCCTGCCAGCAGTTGAGTACGTACATTGAATACAAGCAGTGTGAGGGTGTTGCAGAAGTAGTGGTCGCTCCTTACATGTCTGCTGGCTTCCGTGGGATAGTCCAAACCATGGGCCTTGGAAATCTCAAACCTAACATTGTGGTAATGCGGTACCCTGAAATTTGGCGTCGTGAAAACCTAATTGAAATTCCATCCACCATTGTTGGAATAATCAACGATTGCATTGTAGCAAACAAGGCTGTTGTCATTGTCAAGGGTCTTGAGGAATGGCCCAATGTATTTCAACGGCAGTTTGGCACAATCGATCTATATTGGATTGTACGGGATGGAGGTCTCATGCTTCTTCTCTCCCAGCTTCTCTTGACCAAGGAGAGCTTTGAGAATTGCAAGATTCAAGTCTTTTGCATAGCAGAGGAGGAAACTGATGCCGAAGGCCTCAAAGGAGATGTAAAGAAGTTTCTTTATGATCTCCGTATGCAGGCAGAAGTAATTGTTATTACAATAAAAACATGGGATGTACAAGTAGATGGTGGATCCGCACAGGATGAGTCAATCGAAGCATTTACAGCTGCACAACGTCGAGTTGCTGATTACATGTCAAAGATGAAAGAAACAGCTGAGAGGGAAGGCACTCCTTTGATGGCTGATGGTAAACCTGTAATTGTGAATGAGCAACAGGTGGAGAAGTTTCTTTACACTACCTTGAAGTTGAATTCAACAATGCTAAGATACTCAAGAATGGCCGCTGTGGTACTTGTTAGCTTACCACCACCACCTCTCCATCACCCATCTATATTTTATATGGAATACTTGGATCTTTTGGTGGAAAACATTCCGAGGCTTTTAATTGTAAGAGGATACAGGAAAGATGTGGTCACGTTGTTTACATAACTTCTTAGACCCCAATTTTTGCTAGGGGGATAAACATGGTGTACTTGAGGACCAGAAAACTTGAAATTACTTATTTGTTCATATCTTCTGTTTTGACAATTCATTGTATCTTTACAATTTTGTCAATCATTCTTTTTGTAGATGTATGTTTAGGCAGCCCATTCTTTTCTTTTTACCCGACTCAGATATTTTTGGTTTTTGTGCTGTTGGTCATTTGATGGCTCTTCACTTCTTGAAATTCATATACATTAAAACAAGGTTGTGTTGGGTAGTGAAAACGAGCTGCAACAATAGGAAAACTCTGATGACTGCCATTGGAGCCCTTGGATGGAATGAGCTGTGTTCGGCGAGCATGGGAAGGTGGCGATTGCTGGTAGTTGATTCAATGAAGACTAATCACATTGTCGAAAACGCAGTAGAAAATTACGGCAGTTAGAATACGCTTTTAAGTATCCTGCTTTCAAAGCTGTGTTGACAAGATCAACATCCGAACGACATTTATGGGAATACACCTGCTAATTTTTAAAACTACTTGTATTTAAATCAATGTTAACATTATTATATTTTGTGATTTTGTGGTGGAACTATTTTTATAAGTTTAAGAGTTATTATGAGTTTTCTTGTTCATTAAAAAAAAAAAAAAAAAGTTTGTACCAAAAAAAAAAATACTGTGCGAAGTACAAAACAAAGATTTTATGGTCAAGAGCCCAAAAACAGACACAACAAAATTGTAAATACTACTTGATATCATTAGCAGAATAACAAATTTAAAAAACTCCACATTTTTATAGGAAGCAAATGTATCAACCTAGCTCGCATAACATAATATGCATTTTTTTGCTTCTAATTAGTTCTTTTTGTGTATCCATTTTCATAATCCTCTAAAAAAGCCTTACCCAATTTTCTTTTTAAAAGGATTACTTAGATCATGCATATATTATGCACATCTCAATTATGCCAAATGAATTACCAAACTAAACTCCTAAGGAATCCTATGCCTTAAACTTTTGCACTGAATCAGTGTTTTCTGCTCACCACCTTGACAAAAGAACAAAGTAACAGGGCAAGTATACAAGCAATTATCAACCAAACTCACTGTCGCAGAACCAGGCTCCACCCGCTTTAACGGGTCTGGTATTGGCCCGAATAAGTAGTTCCCACCGAGCAAAAGACGTTGAAACGACGCCGTTGCAACCCTGAGGGCATACACTGGGGGTATCATCCCTGTAAACATGTTATGCTCCAATGACAATGCTGATAGATTTGGCAACTCAGCCAAAAATTTTGGCAATAACCCATTTATCTTATTGTAGCTGAGATCAACAGCCAACACATTCCCTCTTTTTTTCCCTTTACCATTGGGCGAATTGACGGCTGAGAACTGATTATGAGACAGATTGAGTTGTTGAAGTGATGGAAGATCAAAAACTTCCCCTGTAATTGTACCACCTATCTCATTGTAACTAAGATCTAAGACTTCGAGGTCTTGCATGTGGAAGAAATTTCTAGGCATTTCTCCTCTTAAACTGTTGTTTCTCATTGAAAAGGAAATGAGGGAAATAGGAAGAGAAAGTGGATTAGTAGTACCAAAAGAAGAAATGTTATTGTCACTTGCATCAAAGTTGTACAAATTTTTCAAAGAACCTAAAAAAGGGAATTCACCAGAAAGCTGATTTTGTTGTACTGCAAAGTCTGTAAGGTGACTTAGCTTGTTTAAACTCGGCGGGATTGACCCGCTGAGTTGATTGTCATCTAGATAGAGCTCTTCTAGGTAAGGTAAGGAGCCAATAGAGGTTGGAATGGAGTTAGAAAATGCATTCTTAGACAGACTAAGTCGTCGAAGGTGAATCAGGTTGGAAAGGGATTCAGGCAGTGAGCCTGATAGAGAGTTGCCTGAGAGGTCTAGTGTGTTGAGATATGGGAGTAACCATGTAATGTTAGTGATTGAGCCCGAGTAGCCCGCCCCATCAAGCGCAACCTCGGTGACTCGACTTAGTCCTGCAAGACTGAAGTCACACCTGATACCACAGGTAAAATATGCACTGAAAACATGATCACAGGGATCAACAGAAAAATCCCAGGAGCTAAGACATGATCCTGGTGTTATTGATTTCGAGTCGATTAATCTCTTCAAATCCTTCAATACCTCTATGTCTCCTGGATTTGTTCTTGCATCAACCACAACTAAACAGAACAGACAGAAATATACACTAATAAGAAAATGATGCAGTAGCTTCATTTTTCTGTTAACTTCAGAAGGTAATTTTATTTTTTGGTTCACTGTTGAAGTAAAATAAACAGCAGTACTAATTGTACTACTTGAAAGAGTGAGTGAAGTAAAGGAAGATCAAGTAGTTGAGCCGTACAAATTAAACTGACAACAGATTAATTAAGTAAGGAAATAAGATCTTGGCTAAAAATACTACCTCCGTTTCTTATTATAAGCAATAAAGGAATATTTTATGTCTCGCAAATAATATCCTTTTGTTGCAAATAATAAAAAACGAAGATAGAAGTAAAAGTTAAAGCTGTAATGGTCGGTAGTGTAAGGCAGTAGGAAATACAGCATAATTATAGTTCAATAATTATGAAATAATAAAGTCAAGTTGGGAAATTAAAAATAGTTATGGAACTGACTATTGTGTGCAGGTAAAACATAGGGATTGAGAACTTTGAAAGTTGTTTATAGATCTGATGCATTGACATTTATAAGGGTTTACTAACCCAAAAACTGTGATTAAATTCCTTTACTACATTTGTCAGTAATTTGTTGGGTTAAGACTTAAGACTCAGGTTATGATTCGTATTTTGGGGTTTAGTTAGAGTTAATCTATTTGTTTAATTGTTAGTTAACCGTTAACGTACTATTAAATGGTAAAATATTTTAATGAATACTTGTCATAATAGTACTAACTATTATTTATACTTCAATATTTAACTTATAGGTAATGATATATGTAGCCCTTACGAGTTAAGACTACAAATAAGCAATTAATATATGGAAAATGCTATACATAACCCTTAGGGCTACATATAAGGAGTTAAAAATTTAAAATATATATATATATATATATATATATATATATATATATTAATTACATTAATTCGTAATTTTATCATGCATTCCTAAATTAATATCAAATTAGAAAATATATTAAATGCTTATTCTTAGCCCTAAGGGCTACATTTAGCATTACCCTTAATATATTTCTTAATTTGATATGAAATATTAATTTAAAAACGCATGACAAAATCACGTACAAATCAATATAATTAATGTCATACTACGTATTTTCATTACCCCCCCTCGCGCTATAACATTTTCCATTAACTTATTAAATTTTTGTTGGATTTTGCTAAAAGAAAAAAAAATTATGGGTTTCATTTTATAAATCATGAGATCGAGTTTGGACTTAAATTCAAAAGTCAAGGATTTCTGCTAAAAAACTGACTAGCTTACGCTTGCTCTTCAACCCATCGACCCATATGGTAGATTTGTCATCTCAGTGTCCTCAGGGCTCAGGCCAATATTTTCAGGTTAAGGTTTAACATTTACCCTGATAATTCAGTGTTTGATCACCTCAACGGCTTTACTTGTCACGTTTGGTATGCAAAAGTTCATTAAGGTAACACTTGTGTTCGATCTTCTCCCCACAATCTCTCTCTACTACCTCTGACTATCCGAGTGAGCATCATGCCATGCTAGAAAGAGCTTCATAGTTTTAACTACAGAGAGCATCACAGTGAACCAAGACTATATCCATACTTCCATAGAGTTCAAATACAACGAGACCACAACATCATGCTCTTTAGCCTTCTGGTTTATAGATAGATACAAAGAAGGATAATCCATTGTGATTCAAAAAATCAATTTCACTTCGAAAGTGGGGCAGCAGTAGCAAAAAATGGAGGATTTTAATGAAGACAGTGACTTTTGATAGTTATCCTACTATTTCGAGTTAAGCATACAATTTACAGGCCTACTTCTAAACATCACCTAATCCTCTACGCAGTCAGCAGGGTAGATACAAAGACCTAAGAGGCTAAAGTAAAAAATATAAACCAAGAAAGTGCAGTAAAACAAGCACCTCCAGTGGTCATCAAACTCTTTAGATATTCACCTTCTTGTCCTCAAGTTTCCGTGCAGCATTATCCAAATATTGCTTTACACGAGTCTGGCTTGTCTCAAATATGAATGGCATTCCCCTAATCTGCAGATAAATCCAAAATATATGTTAAGCTTGCATTTTGTAAACCATCTTGTAGAACACTACCAGCTACAGTAAGTTTTGACTGCATTGTTAAAATGACAAATAATGAAACAAAAACAATAAATCAGAGAGGGAGGCCAACTATCTCAAAACAATACCAGTCAGTGGGCATATTTAATTATGGTGACACAATCATCTTGAAGATACACAACATCACCCACAAACAAATCAAAGTGGGTAAATTACTCAATGTTAATAACAGAACCAGAACAGAAAATTACTAAGAGAAACTATAACCGCTTGCTGCTAGTGCAACATACATAGGATAGTCTATTTTAAGTCTCAGAAGATAGAAGTGACTTTGCATAGTACCTAGGGCCTGTCTGATTAAAACCCAGAAAACGAAACAAATTATAATCAAATATAGACAGGAAGAAGGAATAATTTATAAATATTCCATATCTTTGTTGCCCATGTTTGATGATTTATTTCAGAGAGAGAGAGAGAGATCCCCCATGTACCATAACTATTAGAAACATGCCATGAGCTAGTTTAGCTGCCAAAAAATGCTATATAACCAATTCTCTTCAGGGAGAGACAGATCTTTGATGGAAATTCATAGCTAGACCTGCCTTTACAGGTCATATGGCTGGTTTCCAGTTGATCAGAAATAGGTTCGTACTGCCCAAGGTTTGGATCAATTCTAGTCCAGGTTTGTATATTTTGGGCCAGGTCAGGCACGACCATAAGGGTTGGATCGGTGTCAGATTGGGTTCATATCAAGCTGGGTCCATCACGTCCATGTTGACTTGGGTAACTATTGCATCTCATCAACATTGAGTTTTTTTCTGAATCAAGTCTGTGCTATTAAAGGGTAGATCAGAATTAAGATGATTAAAAAAAAAAAAAAAATCAGGATTCAGGGGAAGCCATATCAGCAAATATCAAGTCTGTATCTAAGACATTTTGAATTATAATATACTTTATAAGACATCAGATTTTTGCAGATGTATTTTAAGTTGGATTAACCATTAAAAGAAACCTGAATTGTTACATAATCCAATGCTTTTGCAGATTTTCCGTATTACAATTGTGCGGTTCTATGCTATAAAATTTAGGTTACTAGTTATTCATAATGAACCTAATTTTATACATTGCAATTTTTACATTTATATTTACACCCAATATCAACATCATTCAAAAATGCGTATCTGACATAGACGACTATGTAGTTGCTGAGTCATTCAACCAAAGTACCAAACCATCATAAATTCTAAGAGGTGTACTTCATTCAATTCCATCTAAGAGATATATTACTTATTTACTTCCTACATCAAGGTTCCTAAGATTTACAGTGCAATAAAAGTCTACAAAGCAACCAAAATTATAAGTAGCAAAGTAAGATGAAATCTTCAGTCAAGTCGAGTTTGGGGTCGGTTTGCTTTTAATTTGGGTCACCTAAATTCAGGTCATAATCGTTTTTGGTCAGTTGAATCAAGGCAATTCGAGTAAGGGTGAAATTGGGTCGAGCTAAGTTGGGTTGATCCTAGTCCCTAATCAGGTACCATTTTGGGAATTACAAGATTCGGAAAAGATTGGGTTTGTTAAGTACATCTACCATCTGCAGACATTAGTCACATTACAGATATAAGGAATAGAATCAAGTGCGCATTTAAAATAATGTATAGTTAAATACCTCAATCAAGCAATTTGAGTGCAGACCAAGACTTTGCCCTGGGAAGACTTCCTTGCTATTTATATAGATTGAACATTTTCCAGTATTCTTTATATTAAAAGCTCCATCTTTGTCCATCTTTATAATTGCCTGGGTCATAAACAAATTAACAACCACATCATAAGTCCTCAAGGTGAAGCGATCAATACGTGAAAGAGCATAAGAAAGAGAAATGATGCTTGATCAGACAAGCAACATTTCCCAATGTGAACAAAAATACTGAAAATTCAAGGATTGGCAAAAGTTTCAGAATCAGCAATAACAGTTCAGCAGGTGGTAGATTTACGAGCTTTGATCATGAAATTTAGCCTATTCCATTTTGTTTGCACTACTCATATACCTTCCTCGGCATAAATCTATTCAGCTATCATTAATTAAAGGAATAAAGAGGGAATGGTGCATTGTGGACAAGCCGACAAGCTACAAATCGATACTCTATAGCAGCACACAAGCTTCCTCCTACCCCTGCCCCTCCAACCCAAAGAAGGAAACAGAGGACTGCAAAGCCCTAGGTACAGCAACCATTCAGAAAAGAAAATCTATGGAAGAGACCAATGCTTGAATAAATAGACTACTAAACCTCTTCAACGCTAACAGATTAAGTTAAAAGCAACTAAATTTAACATTGGTAGTATACCATTTTAGCACTATAGACAGAAGCATTATCGATAACAACAAATGAAAATATGTAATCAGCTCAAAAGAAAGTGGAAAATAAAAAAAAGCCATGGTTGATATAACATGAGTTTACAGGATATCTCACCTGCCGCCTTGATATCTTATTTGCACGCCCTTCTCTGCCCAAGTCAATGTCAACCGTAACATCCTCTGTTGCTCTTCCAAGCAAGACCTACAATTCAAGCAAGGTATGAGGGTCACAAGTCAAGTAGATACAGCGAAAAAGATGACAATTGTCAACTAGGATGCAGCAAAAAGAATGAGAACCAGAAGCCAAACAAAGTACCTCAGGTTTCTTAATGTAATGCTTTGAGTGCCGACCATATAATATTGCAATTGCACCATGTGATGATATGGCTCTCTGCATATATGAATGTGCATTTTGCTCCAACCTTATGATCGCCCTCTTCACATCCTCGTGCTGATATTTTGCAACTGAAAATAAACAGAATCAATAAAAAATATAGATACAAAAACTATTTTTTGACAGAAAATTAATTTAATAATTATATAAAATTAGATGTAATTTAAAGAGTATAGATGGCAATGCCATGGTAAGGGGAAAAGGTATTTCCTCACAAATTTCAAGCAGTAACAGTAATATAAAATTTCAGGTGCAAAGGCAGGTACATTGCAAATGTGACTT